AATTCCGTGACTGGCCTATTATTTTTGATGTCTTCTTGATGTTCATGGATTCATGAACTTAATTTTCTAGCGGTAGCTCCTATATAATTAATCTCTTCACCAGTTAGTGTGTGCTTTAGCAGGATTTGGTAGATACCGGATTTTTCATTCAACTGGTACTTATCCCTATCGTTACATAGTAGTCTTCTTAGATTTGGTTGCGGTGTAATTGCGAACCAAAGGAGCTATTTATTTGGGAGATACTCTTTATTTCTACTACTATACCATGCAACTCCCCAACTCTCGAGCTCCCACAAATTTGGATAACAGCGTTCAAACAACTCAACCCAAGATAAAAATACTCCTTCGTTGCTTATATACTTATTTTGCATTGGTGCGCATACTTGAACGAACTATGTTCATTAACAGACATTTCTAATGTTAATATTTATTTATCATCATTTCTTCGCACTATGACATAAGAACCTTTAAATAATATTCGAAAACCATAATCAGCCGAACCGTTGGAAATATCGTTCGAAATATTCGATATTGAGAATTTTTCAAAAAACCGTCGGAACATCGTTCGGAAAGCTTGAACTATTGAATTCTATGTACCGCCTGATGATGGTAGTTTTACACTACTGAAAGTGCTAGCGGAAAAACCTCTCTCTAAAAGTTGGAAACATTTCTGGATTGGGAATTCCACTCCTGTAACGCCACTGCACGTAAGTGTTCTAATAATAAGTTATTCTCTATTTAACTTATTGTTGATAAGCAATATTTAGATGAAATTGGTGGCAACACTGGTAGTACTTCCAGTTACAATGCATAGCAGATTTGTTGATGTGGTTGCAAGAGGTTAATCTATTTTCAGTTGTGAAAGATGGTACATCATTTGGATGTAGCATCCAAGTTGGAAATTTGTTTCTTGTCAGCAAAAAGGTGTAACCCCATTGAAATTCAATACTAGTTGAGAGAAGTTTATGGTGAGAAAGCTTTTGCATGACAATGCCACACCTCATTTAGCAGGAATCACAAAAGCTCTACTAGAAAAATTCAAATGGACTGTACAGGAACATTCTCTTCACAGTCTAGATCAGGGGTGTCCAACCTTTTTGTTCCTCTGGGCCAAATTGGAGGAAGTCATGGAGTTTTGGGCCACAAGTATATATAATATATTTGTGACCCAATTCTTTAACATGTCTAGATTATAGTAATAAGTATTAAAACTTTATCATGAGAAAGGATATTTTAAAAAATTACTTCTACAGACACTTTCAATTTTTACTTAGAAATAAATAAATTCATCTATTACAAAAAAAGACAAACAAAAATTTACTTGAAAAACACAAATATTTGTTTTATTTGGGTCTCTAATTAATAAAAAACAACAAAACACTATTTTACAGTGCATTTTTATTCAACTAATATATTTATAAATAATACGTAGTATGCAGCCCAGAAAGTAGCCAATCCGCAAAATGATAATTTTTATGCCAAATTAAAAAAAGAGTAGCCAAATTTGGTGCAAAGTAGCCAAATCTTGTAATGCTGGAAAGAATACTAAATAATGCTGGAGTTGGAACTCAAAGGAGTATAGATCCAAATTTGAGAAAAGGAGAGAAAGAACAAAAGATAAAAAGTAGTGAGGAAGGTTGGAAAATTAAGGGTCAATATTTGCATAACAGAAGGTCTATTTAACCTTTCTCACTACTTTTTTATCTTTTGGCCTTTCTCTCCTTTCCTCAAATTTGGATCTATAATCCTTTGAGTCACAGCTTCAGCTTTATTTAGTATTCCTTTGTCAAGTATTTGAAACTATTTCCTTTTCACTCAAAAATAAAATATGTATAAAAGTTTACGGCTTTGTGAAACTTCTTTTTTGAGTTTATGCTGTTAAAATAAATAAATAAATAAAAAATAAAACAATTTGTCAGTTTTGTTTACATGTTTATTGCGCCACAATGGAACTTGCCTTGGGCCGCATGCAGCCCGTGGATTGGACACCCCTGGTCTAGATCTTGTGCTTCATGATTTCCATGTGTTCAGTCCCAAGAAAAAGGACCATTCAAACTGCCAATTTGAGTCCGATGAAGATATTACAAATGCAATACAAAAATGGCTATCACATGTTGGACGGGAATACTTCCAAGAAGGAATAGATGAACTCATGCCTCACTATGATAAATGTTCAAATAATAATTTTTGACATGTTTCATACGTGTATTTTTGGTATGAGTGCAACTTACCTTTTGATGTGCCTTCATAACACAAATTCAGCATTATTTAATTGAATTGTAGTATGAAGTATTTAAAAAATTATAAATTATTTAAAATAAAAAAAAATTCTTACTTTAACTCCCGGTGTATATGATGCTACGTGATAAGGTGAAGTTCCAGGTGATAAAGTAAATGAAGAAACTTTCTGAGCAAACATTTTCTTAGTTATTTTATCTGAAAAAAAATTTTAAAAAGTATATCAGAAATTAAAAAATATATTTCTAATATTGTATTTAAAACTGAGAAAACTTCAATGTTATAAATAAATTATAGATAACAATAAGAAAAACTTGATTTGACTTCTCCATACCAAATTTATTGTCTTCAAAAAAATGAATTTCGTTGCTTACATTTCTAGCACAAAGTTCTTCGTTATCCGACCATTGAGGTTTCCTAAAATAATTTAATATTTTAAGCTCAATATTATGCAATTATACTGTGTATATAAATACACAATGTTTGGGCTAGAATTATCCATAAGTAATGTTTTCTTATAATGCTATTCTTCCAAACTAAAGCACAGCCAATAGGAAAATCACTCCAACATTTATTAATGTCTGTAGTGTGCACACATCACAAGTAGTTTAACACATGCAAAAATGACAAACAGCTTTGCTTTAGTCAAGATGTAGATATATCAGAAGAAGGGCAGTGCATTTTATTGTTAGCTAAATTTAAATGAGTTTGTGTGTATTTAGTGGTAGCACAAAGAGAACAAAATGTTAATCCTTGCATCCAAATTCATTCTTCAGTAAACTAACATGGCAATTAATGAAGAAACAAATGCATAATCATNTACTAAATAATGCTGGAGTTGGAACTCAAAGGAGTATAGATCCAAATTTGAGAAAAGGAGAGAAAGAACAAAAGATAAAAAGTAGTGAGGAAGGTTGGAAAATTAAGGGTCAATATTTGCATAACAGAAGGTCTATTTAACCTTTCTCACTACTTTTTTATCTTTTGGCCTTTCTCTCCTTTCCTCAAATTTGGATCTATAATCCTTTGAGTCACAGCTTCAGCTTTATTTAGTATTCCTTTGTCAAGTATTTGAAACTATTTCCTTTTCACTCAAAAATAAAATATGTATAAAAGTTTACGGCTTTGTGAAACTTCTTTTTTGAGTTTATGCTGTTAAAATAAATAAATAAATAAAAAATAAAACAATTTGTCAGTTTTGTTTACATGTTTATTGCGCCACAATGGAACTTGCCTTGGGCCGCATGCAGCCCGTGGATTGGACACCCCTGGTCTAGATCTTGTGCTTCATGATTTCCATGTGTTCAGTCCCAAGAAAAAGGACCATTCAAACTGCCAATTTGAGTCCGATGAAGATATTACAAATGCAATACAAAAATGGCTATCACATGTTGGACGGGAATACTTCCAAGAAGGAATAGATGAACTCATGCCTCACTATGATAAATGTTCAAATAATAATTTTTGACATGTTTCATACGTGTATTTTTGGTATGAGTGCAACTTACCTTTTGATGTGCCTATTTCTACGATTTGATAGATAGTGGCTCTATTTGATATTACATTTTTCCCTGTTTTGTGTGAGAGAGAGAGAGTTTACAGAAGTTTCGTGTGGCAATAAATACCTTGTTTGTTGTCTTGGTGGAGATTCTCGAGCGTTCTTGGAGAAGGAAAGGAAGTTCGGGATGTCAGTTCAGGTATCTAGTAGAGGAAGTATCCATAAGAACGATAGAATGTGCAGTATCCGCAAAGGTGTTAGACAATGGTACGATGTTTTCCGATGATATTTTAGTAGGATATAAAAACGTAGAATAAAATGATATATTCACAGATATCCGAATATTGAGGCACTTAGGACAAGGTACAGGTGACAACTTCTCTTTTCGAAAGACGGGCGGCAACTGCCTCACATTGTTGTTGTTCTGTTCTAATGTTGTACTCGTGAAAGTGAGATATTAGGTCAAAAGGTGATGAGAAAGCGTCGTTATTAGGCCTGAGAACTTAACAAATGTTTAGCTCCCAGGTGTAAAAGTTGACAGTTATTGAACGAAAGTATAGCTACAATNGGAAAATTAAGGGTCAATATTTGCATAACAGAAGGTCTATTTAACCTTTCTCACTACTTTTTTATCTTTTGGCCTTTCTCTCCTTTCCTCAAATTTGGATCTATAATCCTTTGAGTCACAGCTTCAGCTTTATTTAGTATTCCTTTGTCAAGTATTTGAAACTATTTCCTTTTCACTCAAAAATAAAATATGTATAAAAGTTTACGGCTTTGTGAAACTTCTTTTTTGAGTTTATGCTGTTAAAATAAATAAATAAATAAAAAATAAAACAATTTGTCAGTTTTGTTTACATGTTTATTGCGCCACAATGGAACTTGCCTTGGGCCGCATGCAGCCCGTGGATTGGACACCCCTGGTCTAGATCTTGTGCTTCATGATTTCCATGTGTTCAGTCCCAAGAAAAAGGACCATTCAAACTGCCAATTTGAGTCCGATGAAGATATTACAAATGCAATACAAAAATGGCTATCACATGTTGGACGGGAATACTTCCAAGAAGGAATAGATGAACTCATGCCTCACTATGATAAATGTTCAAATAATAATTTTTGACATGTTTCATACGTGTATTTTTGGTATGAGTGCAACTTACCTTTTGATGTGCCTTCATAACACAAATTCAGCATTATTTAATTGAATTGTAGTATGAAGTATTTAAAAAATTATAAATTATTTAAAATAAAAAAAAATTCTTACTTTAACTCCCGGTGTATATGATGCTACGTGATAAGGTGAAGTTCCAGGTGATAAAGTAAATGAAGAAACTTTCTGAGCAAACATTTTCTTAGTTATTTTATCTGAAAAAAAATTTTAAAAAGTATATCAGAAATTAAAAAATATATTTCTAATATTGTGTTTAAAACTGAGAAAACTTCAATGTTATAAATAAATTATAGATAACAATAAGAAAAACTTGATTTGACTTCTCCATACCAAATTTATTGTCTTCAAAAAAATGAATTTCGTTGCTTACATTTCTAGCACAAAGTTCTTCGTTATCCGACCATTGAGGTTTCCTAAAATAATTTAATATTTTAAGCTCAATATTATGCAATTATACTGTGTATATAAATACACAATGTTTGGGCTAGAATTATCCATAAGTAATGTTTTCTTATAATGCTATTCTTCCAAACTAAAGCACAGCCAATAGGAAAATCACTCCAACATTTATTAATGTCTGTAGTGTGCACACATCACAAGTAGTTTAACACATGCAAAAATGACAAACAGCTTTGCTTTAGTCAAGATGTAGATATATCAGAAGAAGGGCAGTGCATTTTATTGTTAGCTAAATTTAAATGAGTTTGTGTGTATTTAGTGGTAGCACAAAGAGAACAAAATGTTAATCCTTGCATCCAAATTCATTCTTCAGTAAACTAACATGGCAATTAATGAAGAAACAAATGCATAATCATCACATAATTTACATCAATGGAGAGCACATGAACTAATGTGTATCAATCAAAAATAAAGACATTAATTTTCTCAAAGTAAAAAACCCCATAGTGATGAGATATGATCTCTGGATGTAACTCCATTGGACTTTTTTGCAAGGAGCTTTATTAAAGATTGCATGCACTAGAAAAAGCTAGTGATTTGAATGATTTGAAACAGTGTATCATTGTAGCAGTTGTTCTACCATCATCTTAGATGCTTTAAACTTGGCAAAATCTTGAATATCATTTTGACTTATGTCAAACTACAAAAGACCTATCAAAAGGTGCTCATTTTGGACTTCACTAACCTTCTTAACAACTTGAAATACAAAAAATCATTTTAATAAACATTGTAAATGCTGAGATGTGTGTGTGAATTTTAGATATTTCTAGCTCAGACACATTGTATATATGTAATTAGTATGCATATTAAAGATTTGAAAACATTTTAATTATTCAAAATTCAACACTATATACAATTATTGTACAACAATTTGTAAGCACCACACATTTCACTTTTAAATTCCTTCAATTCTTTTATATCTTAAATACCTTACAACTAGATCACACAAAATCTTGTAAAATGTTACATTATTCAAAATATATAGAATACTACTACTGGGAAAGTTGCAACTTGTCAAAAAAACGACAGGTTAGAGCAAAAAAACTAACAAATTTTTACTACATTTCACTATACCTTTAAAATGCAGTCTACTTTTGTCAGTTCTCTAACGTTTTCGGTCTAATTTATAGACCTTCTTCAGGATTGCTACATTTCACTATACCTTTAAAATGCAGTCTACTTTTGTCAGTTCTCTAACGTTTTCGGTCTAATTTATAGACCTTCTTCAGGATTGATGTAAAATATTTTAAAAATTTGAACTTTCTCAACGGTAATTCGAACCACGCACATTTATAAATACAGAGAAAAGGGGCTTAATATAAATTTTCGAGAGTCAAGTAGAATAGCAACGGCATGGAGAGCGGCGGCATTATAAAGAGCTAATGGACATGCACGATCGAATATCTGAAGATTATAGAATGTGCGTGGTTCGAATTACCGTTGAGAAAGTTCAAATTTTTAAAATATTTTACATCAATCCTGAAGAAGGTCTATAAATTAGACCGAAAACGTTAGAGAACTGACAAAAGTAGACTGCATTTTAAAGGTATAATGAAATGTAGTAATTAATTAATGCAGTTAGAGATTTAGTAACTAACAAATTTTATCACAAATTTTAGTGCACTCATAGATTTCCTCATTCATATTCTTTATGAGTAATTAAAACTGTACTAAGTGAGTGAATCTTGGCATACATCTATGATTCAAAGTACTAAATTCACAAATATTACATATTTAAATTTAAAATACTTACCAATTTGATTGCTTTTTTTGAATAAATGAATGTAATAATTTTTCTTCTTTAACACTCCAAATATCAAGATTCGGGTTTCCATGCGGCAGTTCTTTTGATGCTTGAAAACATTTGTTTAATTAGTTTTTTCAAAAAATCATTTCTATATCCTACATATTATAAATTATAAGAAAAATTTATGTAAATAATTTGAAAATTATAAAAAAAATTTGTATTTTGTTATTCTCTATACTTAAACCAAAAGGAAATCAATACTGAAATTAAGGATAACATTCGACGTTTGCTTAATTTATTCAACCAAACAAATTTATCCGTGATTAAAATCCAATTAATATTAACTGTTTAAGGAGTAAAATACTATATTTCTGTACAAGAACATGCTATTATAATTGAAAATTAATGCCAAATGATCGATGGATTAGATTAGGATAATAAACATTTTTAAATTTAAGACAATTAATTTTTAACTAACATTGTAATACCAAAGCCAACCACTGCTTTGTTATTACAATGAATCAGGTTTTAGTAGAGTTTTGTTTATATATATGCCTTGCCAGAGTATACAAAGGCTGGTTGAGTGCCTTATGAGGGAGTTTACAGCACAAGGGCACTTGATGCGTCCCCAGCCAGCACTGTAGTAACCGACAATAATTATAGCATAATGTTATATATACTGGAAGATGAGATCAATACCCAGACCAATGGTCTGGGTAATGTAATTGGCAATGCATCCACACAATAAATGGGAGTTTTGGGTTCAAGTCCCACTTCAGGCAGATTCTTGATTCTTTTCTTCCAGTAAATCTAAATTATGTAATTAAACTTATAATTATTAAATTTATTAAGAGATGGAGCCTAATGCGTCCCTCTAGTATCAAATTGTTTGGTAATTTATTAATATTATAGCCGTTAATTATCCCAATGGTATATGACAGTGGTTAGCTTTGGTTCTAACATTGTGTTTGAAGATAGTATAAAAAATGTGTCTGGTTCTTTCTATTAATTCTTATAGCAAAATTTTTAAAAAATGTTATGATTTAAAATGACTATTAAAATTTTCTTACCTGTATATGATTCCCATAATGCTATAAAATTTCCTTGTGGAGAAAAATGAATACAAGACGTCCTGGGTTTATTAATGGTAAACTTTATGTTACAGGATGGAATGGATGCAATATATACACTATAAAAAATTTAATTAAAAAAATAAGTTAATATTAATATAAAACTATCAACTTCTAACTTTCATTTAGACATTATTAGCAAGTATGATCTTTGCAAATGTCATTCTTTACAAAAATTGGAATCAAGAATAACTGTTTATACAACTAAAAATGGATTTGCAAATTAGTTATTATTTTGTTTTAATAAAATAACATTTTGACATTTTTATTTTTTATTATTTTAAACTCTTTCTACCCTGTGAACTCTAAGATGGCCTTTTTTTCCATTTGGATTTGACTTGTATCAACAAGTGGTACAAGGGCCAACATGCATCCAATGGGCATTTGTAATTTGCCCATTGGATGCATGTTGGCATCCAATGTTGGATGCATTTGTAATTTGGGTGATGTAATCCCATTCAAACATTGAATTCCATACGAACAAATTTGAAATATGCACTCCAAGCATTCCATTTTTCTGACAGATTTCTTGTAGAAAACCAAAAATGTTTTAAGAGTTTTGCTTCTGTTTTGCTGAGTTGACATTTAGGTTTATTGAGACATCAAGTATAAATATGACCTGAAAATCCAGAAATTTAAAATTTGTGACTGATTCATCTATGCTGAGGCTTTAGTTATGGTTTAATACATATAAAAAGGTTTTAATATGTGTATGTAGACAGGTATTGGCCTAGTGGTTAAGATAGCAACTTACTACTCTGGGGACCCAGATCAGATCTAGACAAGGTTGAAAAATCTCCAGCAATTTCTTGAGCGACAGTCCATTCAGATATGTTAGACCCTGCCCCATTGTTGGCCTAGCCAACCATAATAGACTTACTAAAAAGGCCCTCTTAGTGACCACAAGGCAGAGAGAGTTACTTACATACACACACTTCTTTATGTAATTGAAAACAAAGATAATTATAAATTCAATTTAATCTAATGGATTTCCTGAAAATTGGAGCATGCGAGCTTAAACATACAACATTACAACTAGTGATGGGACGATAACAAAATTTCTCTTGATTCTGATTCTTTTGAATACTTTCTAAAGTTTATTTTAATTTAGAAAAATTAACAATTTACATTGTGAGCACAATACATTCATTAATTAATAAACATCAAGCTTAAGAACGGAAAACGATTTGGAAATCCAGAATCGATCTTTCAAAAGAAACCTGAAAATTCTCCATTTATATGTGGATACGATTGCTTTTATTGTGTACTACAAATAAATTTGTAATCTAATCTTATTTCTGATAAAGTTATTATTGCAACACTACTCCCAAACAAACTACAGCTAATTTCTTTTTACTCAACAAACTATACCATCATATCACGCAGGGTCACCATCTTCAGAAACTGCTTCATTGGCCATGACTGGGGGGAAGGGGAAAGTAAATGACAACATGCACTTTTTTCATGATTTTTGCAATGGAGAATGTCTTGTAAATGATTTAACTCCATCATATTTAATACTAAATGAAGTTTGGAAAATGATATAGTGAGCTGAACAAATATCGTTGTCACAAGATGATAGATTTTTTAATTCATTTAACCATGAATATCTAAACTGACTCATCTTAAAAAGTCAAATTTTAAAACTCAAAATGGCATTAAACTTAGCACGAATAAGTATTTTTACTCAGAAATATGCAGACTGCATTTGAAAATTTAACATACTACAGCATCGTCTGCGAATCCTCACAAAAACTTTTATAATTATAATGAGAAATTCAGTTTTATCATTATAAGTAAATATACTAAATATTAAAAATAATTTTAAAAAAGTTTTTCCATAAATCATCATCTATAATATACAAATTCAACCAAAGTAATTATGTAATCTTTAGGTCTTAATTTTTAATATTCTTCAGACTTGATCAGTTAAGAGTTTACTGAAAGCTCTACAATTTCAAATATTTCAAACTTAAAATAAAATGAATTAAAAGTAAATTTTTAAGTCCTTTTATGAAGTGCATTAGTTGTAAGCTCTTTCATCCCCATAACAGCATGGAAAACAATTTATTTAAACTATGTCTACATCATGTTATGCATACTGTGCATCCAATAAAATTAACATTCCTTTTACTTTAAAACTTATGTTCTAATTTTGATCTTGATTCAAATTTAAGTTAAAACCTGATGACAATCATTTAAGACAGTTGAAAACGTTTTTGCTGTATGTATGTATGTTTCATTTTTAGAATGCAAGAGCCTACTCACATTCTACAGAGATGTCAGATACCAGCAAGGAACTAGAGCATCTGAAACAAGTTGCATTCAAACATGGGTACAGCCGCTAATTTATCAACAATCTAGCGTCCAAACATCTGGTTCTATCATCTAACACCAATAACAACATACAAAACAGAAGTTAATTGGGTGGTCCTAAACTACAAACCATCTCTTCATCATATATACAGAAGGATTGCAAAAGATTTAAAGGATACAAAAGGAAACCCAACGCATTCCACCTTCTGTCTAATGCAAAAGATGGCACCAAGGATGCAAGCTCCTGGGATTTACCACATCTTACTACAGGATGATAGGTTCGACAGAATACTATCGTACATAGCAGTGTTTCTCAACCTCTAACGAACATCGCCCCCTTCAATAAAACCGTTACATAGTATCGCCCCCTTCACTACAAAATTCCGATGCCGAGGGACAAGGTTAACGCCAAATTTGTACTGCATTGAATAGACTAGTGACTAGTATAATGTTATTTGTTTAATTATTGTACGATATAACAAATAAAATATCTAATTATTCTTAATATAATGTTTTACTATATCACCCAGAAAATTGTTTTTCGCCCCCCAAAATATAAATTGTTGCTAATCGCCCCCTGAATATGGAAAAATGCCCACATGGGGCGATATCGCCCCCATTGAGAAACACTGGTATATAGGATCCATGTACAGATCACTGTAAGCCAGGCTAAAAGATAACAAATATGACATACAAAAAGAAAACATTAATACAGTTCTGGCACGTTATGCCAGAGATTTCCTCGTTAGGACCAAGCTATGCTAATACACAAGGTCTTCAACCAGCAAAATATTATAATATTAGAAGTGGTAGAGATCTACAAGGCAGACAGGAGTGGAGTCTGCATCAACACAGATGCCATTCATGTACCAAATGCATAGAAATACTATTTAGACTTATAAAATATATGTCATAAATGAAACATCACAGCCTTTATTTGAACTTATTTGAAACTTTTAAAATTAGAAGGCAGCTACATTCTATTTATAAAACAGTTTTTCTGTTTTACATTTCCTAAAGAGGGCCAATAAAATAGTGGCCTAAAACTTTTGAACACTGAAGTTAAGCATTTCTTTGCTGGAAATTTTGCATTTAAGTGTGATTCTCTACTCTACATGTACAGTTCCAGTTTTCTGGTAAAGTTGTTGTCTAATGTTTCATTTTATTTTTTCATAAAAATTAATGAGCTATCGAAACCACAACAAATTCCAAAATTACAGTTAAATTATATATAGTCTTACAATATTTATTCATTATAAATAAATAAAATTAATGAAAATTCTTACACTCTTCCATCATTCCAGGCAAGGAATTTTCCATCTCCGCTAAATGCCATTGTCCGACATTTAGTAGCACATCTAAAATATAAAATTTTTTTTAGTAAATTGGATCAACGATGACAAAATTATGTAGATTTAAATATAAACAAAGACCTATATCTTTATTGTAATCTTTTATAAAGAAAGCTATTTATTTGGTATCATTATCATTGTCAATATGATATAAATGTAGCTTTGATAAGGCATTTAGAATAAAATATAAAAAATAAAAATATGGAAAAAGTACAATGATGATAATATCAATGTTCATATAATATGATATTAAAAAAATTTGCCCATAACAATGGCAAAACTGAATAAAATAAACCATTAACTGATTTTGTGACTTATTTTTAAATAAAAACTTTTCATACAAAAACCAGATAAGTTATTTAGGTTTTGTTAAATTTAAATATTTTATTTCATAATAAAATGCCTGTTTGTATTAAAGATGTTAGTATAATACACAAACACACTTAACACTGCAGTATTAATGTACTTAGTTTGCCAAGTTTCTTTATCTTTTTGAATAAAAATAATTTAAGATGACAGTTAAAAATGCTTTTTTCAATATGGTTGTGTATAAGTATTATATATAACTTTTAGACTTTTTACATATACCAAGTAATTATTATTAAAACATCCTCTGTTCAACACTGTCTACAGATATATTATATTTAATAGTCCAAATGTATGGAAAAATCTGGTATGGTGCCATTTTAAAACATGCAAAAAAAAATTTTTTTTGTAAAAAAAATCAGTATCAAAATGAACCACTAAGGCACTTTTGGTACTCCAAGCAACAAACCTTTTATTTGCACAAGACATTCATGCTATACAAAGACTGTTGTGATGCAGGAAATACTGCTTAACGTATTCCCTATTCTAGAAGTGTAAAACCCAAAGGTATTGTTCAATGGCCAACTGTATTTGATCCTCTGTGATACTTCTCGCATACAATGTGATTCTCTCTCTCTAGGCTGCCAAATTTGCAACATTTCCTTGATAAACTACACTTCTTAATTGTCCAAAAAACTACAGTGGTAAGTTTTGGTATTGTATGTGTAAGTTTTGGTACAGTGGTAAGTTTGGTATAATTTTTTTACAGATATGTCTTCCATGTATCCTGAAATATCACCGTACCAAATTTGGTTGCATTTTGTCTGCTAAATATCTCTCTAGATGGTTGAATAGGGATGCTTTAATTATAGTGTCAAAGTCAAAATGTTCTTGAATTCTTAGAAGCAAAATTTTAACTTCTAAGATCCCAAAACCTTTTCAGTTTAGTTCATTTTTAATGTGTGTTAAAATAATTTTGATGTACAAAAATACATATTTATAAGATATACAAATTACTTTTTAAACTCTTCAACTTCACAGTATTTTGGTGCGCCGTAACGAAGGAAGATACCATCAGTAGTATTCCATCCTGAAAAATAATTATAAAGGATGAAATCTAAAATGCCAGAAAAAAAAAGTAAACTTGACAAGTAGAGAAATATTTTAATGCTTTATTTAAGTAATTTAAATTCATTAAATAAAAAGTTTTAGGATACAGAATAATAATTATAATTACTTTTATATACATCCAAGAAATTAATGTAACCAAAATCTGTTTAGAAGCCAGATGCCAAGTAGCTAAGGCAGCAGTGTATGTACACACACTGGGAGAATCTTCATTGAATCTGGATGGGTTGAAAAAACCCCAAGAAATTTTTAGAGGTGGCCTGTCCAGACATGTCAGACCCCATCCCTCATTTATCTGCCCCACTGTGGGCCTGGCTAAACTCATAATGGGCTTGCTAAAAAGGCCCTCTTATTGCTCACAGGACAAAAAGGGTTAAAAAAAAAAAGAAACTGTTATTACAAAATAGTTTAGTAATCAAATTGTAAGTGATACTGCATACTGTAATTATCCAGATACAGTATAAGGTGTATTTTTTTTTTTTTTACCAATTTTGGCCAAACTGTAAAAATTTTTTCCAGTTTTTACTTTTCCACAGAGAGAGAGTATAGCAATTGGTCAAAAAATGACTGGAAAATTTTTATATATTTGGATCAGGACTTGTGATGTTGAGAAAGGCAAAGAAATTTGGAGGTTTTTCTAATATGTATTGATGGATGTTTGTGTGCACGTGGACTAATAAACTAATGCATTGCCAAGATCAACGAAAACATTGCTATGGCTCTGATCACATAATATAAGAATTCTGTATTAAAATGACTATATTGAAATTAAAGATGAGAAACAGCAGCTGATACAGCAAATTTTAACTGCTAATGCCAATAATCAAAATTAGATTTTCTTTGTTAAATGCTTTATTTATAGAAAAGATACAACAATGAAAATTGAAAAGTGAAGGGAATCACTTATTCAACATTTTCTTTCTATTTTTTTTTTCTTTTCTTTATTCCATTTACTTTGACATAATTTTTCAATTCATTTTTCTGAACTGTACAATAAATTCCTTACACTTTATTTTTTCTAAATGTGTTTACTTCCACCCATTACAAGGCAGAATTACACTGAATATCAAGATTCTTTTTTCATTTCAAAGTGCGTTTATGGAATTATATGCAATGATGCAAAATTGAACCATTGGCACCTACCCAAAGACATAAGTAATTAGTTCGGTTTTCAAACTTTCATATTTTATTAATTTTAATTAAATTAAGAACTTTTGTTTTATATTATAATGCAGAATTGAACATTTTAGTTAGGTTTCTTTTATTCTAAAATAACTTTATAATAGGGTACACATGCTCAGAATATAATTAGATTAAAAAAATAAATAGCATTGACTTAAAAAAAATGCAAATATATTTATTTGGCATAAAATATATTTTATAGAAGCAAATAAAATAAAAAAAAGCTTACAAAATAATAAATAATAGTCCTAGAAACTAAATAAAAATCTTTATATATGCATTCAAATGTAATAAATGAAAAACTACTACTTATACTATAATTAAATGTTTCACTGGAAAACTAAGAAACAAAATATAATTTTGAAAATGTTTATTTCAAATTGTCTGACAGTATTTACATTATTTAATAAAATACAAAAATATAGAAAATATCGTATGTCTTCAGATATCCGTCTTCACAATCATCAACAACAATCAATCTTCATCTACAGAGATGGCCTTTTAATCAGTGTCTTTTTATTGGAAGTTGTCTCAGTAGATGAAGATTGTTGCTGGTGATTGTGAAGATGGATATCCAAAGACATTTCGTATTTTCTACTTTTTTTTATATTTTATTAAAACTGAAAACTTTCCTCATACTTTTAGGTAGTAATAAATAACATCCAAAAAATAACACATGCCATTTACCAAAAAATCCCAGCATATGGGTGACGCAAAAGGACGTCAAGTATTAGCAAATGTTTTAAATTATCCATCTTTAACTCTTCTTCAAATGCTAGCATTATTACATTAATAATGGGAGAGAAAATTCACACAAAAAAGCGTTATCTTTAGTTTTCTGTATGTTTTATTATCTTACGAGTGCCTTTGACGTAGTAAAAGGAGTCATCCTCAGGTAGAATTGGAATCGTACTGATTTCGAACAAAATTTTAAATTGAAACGAGAATGGTATTAGCCGTTTAGAACTTTATAACACTTAGAACAAGAAACTTTTTGAAAGTTTAAATTTTAAAAAACACGTAACAACGAGGCGCATGTGCCTTAATATATAGACTAGGCGGAAGATTTAGGAGCAGAGCTAATATTGATGTTTTAATTGCTTGTATAGATTAATCCATACTTTAGGCAAATCCAGGGTGGGGGAATTGCAAGGTGACAGCAACTCAGTGATAAGAGCCTCCCAAACGTACACTAGGCCCCCTTCATCACAGCGCCTGAGCATCACCATGTGGTCCCAAAGCAGTGTGTGTTGATGTTGCAATACCATCCTGGTGTCACACCTTCCCACCGCAACAGAATGTTGGTGCTCAGAGATGTAACTACAGAGCATTCTAGTGTATGCCCTATATAATGGGTATGTTCCAATTCTAACTGAGGATGACGCTTTTTACTGCGTCGAAAGTGCTCATAAGACAAACAAAAGATAATGCCTTTTTGTGTGAATTTTCTCTCCAATCAGTAAAATTTTTGGCATGATGTCCACCTTACATGTAAGTTATCTTACACTAATATAATGGTATCGACTTATGAAAAATTTTAAAAAGGGATGCTTTAAACATAATAAGAAAAATAACAAGTTAATTTATATGGTCTTTCTTATTTTGATTGCTTCAGCAATTTCACATACAAGATGATTCAAAATTTCTATTATGCCTCCAATTTCAAAATTTCAATGCATGATTTCTAATCTTTATATTCATGACTCTGTCATCAATTGAATAAAGTTCCAGTATACTGAAGTTACATTACTAGCTACTGTTTTGTCCAGTATGTGGATGGTCTCTTCAATCCTTCAGAATAAGCTAATAATGATCAGATGTCAAGACAGTAAAGGCAGTCTGCCACTCTTAAAACCAAATCGAATCCTCAAATTCTTGTTGATAATTTCATTGATATATCAGGCCCATTCCTCATCATTCAGTTGTCAAATTACGGATCTGGGGCTGTATTCTGGTTACTGATCTCTTTTCTCTTCTTTCAGAGAAGAAATTCATCTCTCAGAAACAAAGGTATTCTGGTAATTGGTAACAATCTTGTCTTTGTTGGTGAGGTCATGATTCTATTAGGTTGATTATATATGTTTGGGTTAACTGTGTGCACAACACTTGAAAATGCAGAGTACAAAATTGTAGATCACTTAGTTGAAAGCACAAAATTCAAATAAAACACAATTTTGACAAAAATATGTTTTTGTTTTATAATTTTTTTACAGATTATAATGTCAAAATAACTCGAGTAACATTGTCTCTTAAAAAATAGAAATTTTAATAACCTAAGTTAGTTAGAAAAGCATGCATACTTTGTTAAGAAGAAATTTGATGATAATACATTGAAAAATATTTAGACAGATGACTGTAAATAATAGATAAGATTAATAGCATATTCAATGCTTCAGTAATTGACAAAGACTCATTAACTTATTCTGTGTTATTCCCGATTTATATCGAGCTGAACAATAAAGTTCCAGACTGATAGACCTGATACCTCATTTCTGCTTGGAAACATTTTTTTAAACATTATATGTCATTACTTGTACTGAATTTTGAAATTAGTGACTCATATCACATGAACGGGTATGTTATCTAGTTTTCGCACAGCAGGTTATCACAATAATAGTATTAGATGTTCAGAAGAAATAAAGAAAAGTAGAGCCTTTAGTGAGAGTATACAGTATTTCGAAATGGTGGAGACAGAAATTGTGCTCTGAAAAAATCAGAAATGATTGAGTATTTGTTCAATTTAGGTTCTGATGAGTCTGAATTATCAGACAGTAATGATTAATTTATACAAAGTGAGAATGTAGTAGTAATGATAATGATCATGAAAAACCAAGTACAAGTGGAAACAGAGGCTGACCAGGTGTTCATGCTCATGGAAATAGTAGTGCAAAACATCAGCATGTTAGTGTTGATGATGGTAGGTGCCGTACAAACTTGACAAGCCCTCAAGTGAACAGTTTTACTGGACAAGCAGGAGTTACAAAATGATGCTACACCATTTGACTGCTTCAGTGTATTTTTGCTGATGAACTTGTGGACAAGATTGTTGAAGAAACAAACAGGTATGCTGATACTTTGATGAAGTCTGACCAATTACGTGAAAACAGTTGCATAAAACAGTGAAACCTACAACAAATACAGAAATAAAGAAATTTTTGGGACTTGTTATGATTTTGAGTATACAGTCAACCCCCTATAACACGGTAGATACATTCCAGTTTTTATGAATCCATTTTCTACGAGTCCAGCCAATCACAGCCTGGCACATATGCAGTTTACGAACTACGGCTGTTTGAAAGGTTTCTTCCATAAAATTAATCGATTCTAGACTAATTCGACTCAACAATTCCAAAATACGTATAATTTTTTGGGAATAATCCATATAAACTATGCTATAAACAAAAAATTGTAGGATTACTTACCAAACGTGCACCATTCAATGATGCCATTGCTTAAGCTTGTTTTCGTCGCGGAGCGGCGCTCCACAACGAAAACAAGCTTAAGCAATGACGAAAGTTTTCTGATAAGTTATTTTTCTGCAAAAAATTTGCTGAATTTTGGAGACATCATTAATAGAAATAATTTTTATGGCCGTTGAATAAGAAATGTTTTTTTCACAAGAAATGTATAAAATTACAGTACTGTATTAGACTTACAGTACCTAATTTATATACTGTACAGATGATAGTAAACTCAACTTACCCGCCTAAACTCTCCGTAGCATGTAAGTAGTTCGGCTGCTCATCCACTATTGGTCCAGATTCGACCAATCCTGTTGCAACACGAATCGGTGATGACATTTACCGAATTATACAAGTTTTTTAGCATGTTTGTACAAATACAGTCGCAATTTTTTTGCCGTGATATAGGAATCTGAACTATAGGAACCTGTGTTATAGAGAGGTTGACTGTAATTAGAAAATCTTCCTCCTTCTTCTTCATCTTTGACTTTTTCCATGTTTATATGGGGTCAGCATTTCCTTCTCTAATACATTTTTCCATTTCTCCCTATCAATGGCTTCTTCTCTCATAAGTCCCCTCTGGTTCAAGTCTTCTTCCACCTTATCTTTCCAACTTTGGTCTTCCTCTTTTCCTCTTATTACCAGTTTTCTGATCTTCTTTCCAACATGATTGTCACTTCTTCACTCTATGTGGTCAAATCACCTCAACCTACATTATTGCATCTTTTTGCTCAAGGGCACCTTAACAGAACCTCTAATTAGAAAATCTTCCATAAGTATGTATTTCACAACTGAAGATTTCAACACCACTTTTGAGTGGTGTTGAAATCTTCAGTTGACACTTGAAAAAACTTTTTTCAAGTGCAATGTCAAGCAACAGATTCCTACTTCTATTGTCATGTTTACATTTTACAGACAATGATCAAGCATCAGGTGGTGATGATAAACTGCATAAATTATGCAGCGTTATTAATCATTTTCACTACAAATTCAATATGCTTACATCCCAGATGAAAACGTGTGTGTAGATGAAAGTCTTACGCTATGGAAAGGTAAAATTGTATTCAGGCAGTATATACCTAGCAAGCATGCTCATTTTGGTGTAAAAAGCTACAAAATTTGTGAGTCACATACAGGATATGTTTGGGACTTCTTTTAGTTTATACAGGAGCTACAACAGAATATAGCAATTTTGAAGGTCGGCAATGTGAGAAAGTTGTTCTTACATTATTAGAACTATTGCTTGATAAAAATTACAAGTTTTTTCTAGACAGTTTTTCAACTCACCAACATTAGCTAAAACACTTCTTGATGAACACACGTATGTGGAACAGTGAACAAAAATTGCATTGGAATGCCATGCAATTTTCCTGATCATAAATTGAAGGAAATTGAATTTATGACATGTCAAAAAGACTATTTGTCTGTATTTTGTTGAAAAGATAAGAGAGATGTGTGGATGCTAAGTAACGAATTCTCAGATTCTGGTAAACTTAACAGATCAGGAGAAATAATAATGAAGCCAAATTGTGTTCTAGACTATAATCATAATATGGGTAGAATTGATCTGTGTGATGGAATGTTACACAATTATCCGTGCACGAGAAAAACTGTAAAATGGTATAAAAAGTTTTTTTTCATATGTCGGATATTGCACTGTATAATGCTTATGTATTGTATCAACAACTAATGAAAAAAACACGTCATTTTTAAATTTTCATATGTCTGTTATCAGAGAAGTTATGGAAAAGTTTCAGACAAGCAGACATGTAACCAGTGGTGATATTCAGCGGATTCTCACAGGTTCGGCCGAACCCGTTGTTAACATTTTCAAAATTTTCCGAACCCGTTGTTAAACACACGTAATATTTTTCAGTAATTTTGTTTCTTTTAAAAAAATATATTAAAATATATGTATTATACTCTGTAACACTACTAAACTAGAGCTTTATACCCCGTTCGCCTTGGTGCAACCTCCATCGACCGTTTCAATCTCGACTGAAACGAGATTTAATCGCGATCGACTCAAGAGAGTTCTTGAAACTAGGTCCAGTCATACGAGAGATCCCACAATCCCACGCGCGCGAGAAAATACAAGATGGCTGCGGAACACGTGTCGTGCTATTGCCAGCGAAATAAAAAAGATATTGTATTTCGATAGACGATGACATCTGTCTATTATTATAATAATACCTAATGATAAAATAAATGATTTAGAAAAGTTTTTTTTTGAGGAAAAGTCATAGGGAAAGCAGTTAAACCTAACTTTTTCTGATTAAAAATAAGCCAATTTTTATGTTTATAAAATACTTCGAATGAAAAATATTAAAATATGTACAAAATAAACCATTTTGAACACTTTTTTTATTATTTATCAATATATATATAGTTCTGGCATAAACAATGTTAAACTTTAACTGACTTAATTTTGCGAACGCATCTTTTTTATTTATATGGGTATCTTAAGGTCAGTTTTTGCGCTAATGTTGCTAATGCACCATTTAAGCAAAAAAAAATTGTTAAGGAAAAATTTTCTGTTAGCGAACCCTTTGTTATATATTTCGAATATCACCACTGCATGTAACCCATTGTGGTTGACCGTCACATGAAAATCCATTGCGTTTAACCGAATGGCATTTTCCTAGTTATATACCATATACAGAGAAAAAAAATATCCAACTAGAATTTGTAAAGTATGTTCAGCAAACAAAAAGAGAGTAGAATAACATTACCAGTGTGAACAATGTTCCATTCCACTATGCATTGTTCTGTGCTTTGAAATTTATCATACTAAAATTAACTTCTAAAATAAAATTTTTTATTTTTACATTTTTTCATATGTCTATTTTATGTGTGCAAAATAAAAAGTAATTTAGAATGACAATTATTTTTTCTAAAACGTGTAATTGCGTTAGGCTTAACATTGAAGAAAATTTAACATGCAGCAACCCTCAACAAGTTAAAAAAAAAAAAACAGTCAGTGGCATTCACCAGTAGTCGCTTAAAAAAAAAAGTTATCTCTATCTCAAAATATTCTTTTCTGAGATATAAATGTTCTATAATATGACTGTAAAAGGTGAGTAGTATCCACTTGTCCATAGTGAAAACAACAAAATCAAGGCTACAAACAAAAGACCAGTTGAAAAATGATTATTTGCACATCTCTGGGAGACGAGAGAACCTTCAAGAGAAAAACTCATACAGAATCACATTCGGAGAGAAGCAACGATCTCTTGAGACGTAAACAAACGATCAACCAGTTAGAGTGTAGCATGTGATGTAGACACAATCTCTTGAAGACGAGAAACCACAACCAGACTACGGTCCCTGGATGTGACTACAATAGGCATGAAGAATGGTCATCTTGGTACAGTACTTGGTCAGGAAAGACTGGAAAGACTTTTCTTCTATGAGCAAAGCATTAAGTGTCCAAACAATGTCATTCAGAGCTGCATTTTAACCTCATTTATTGCCGAATTTGTACAGGCTTCTTAAAAATAGAAACGGCAAAGCAGAGTTTCATGCATTAAACCATACGATAAGGACAGAAAAATTGGAGCAGTGTTAAAAAATTGTTTCTAAATATAATAAATTTTACAAAAATACAGAATTTATACCTGCAATTAAAGGTTCTGGAGCAGCCATGTCAAAAATTATAAATATTACTTTAAAAAATAATAATAATATTTAAATCTGAACTGGTAAAGAAAACTTCCAACTTCAACCACGCTTCATTCTCACTCTTCACTTCATAGCACAACCTGGTGTTCAAATTTAAAAAATTAATAATAATCGATTATAAATATTAAATAAATTTATTTAATAATATTTATTATCGATTATTAATACGAATAAAAATATATATTTAATGCTGCTTAATAATATATTTATACTAATAAAAGTGCAGGTAACTCTCGTGTATGCCATCTCGCTTTTCGCGTTTTCTCTATAATGAAAGTTTCAAAATATATGCCTACTATTTTTGGGTATCCGGGATTGAATCCGGATGGTCGAAACAAGAAGAATTTTTCGGAAAATTTTACGAAACAAAGTACGTTATAGTGGCTCAGTTCGGTTTATTTCTTTACGGCAATGGGGCAAATGGGCGATTTTCCGAGGAGAGAAACTGGGCCTGTTTAATTGTTACTAATGTGAAAAAACCCAGAAAATTCCATGTGGCCAGCCCGTTGTAGATGGACGGACAGTTTCGACTCCATGAAGGTTGTCCATAAATTACGTCCGCATTTTCCTCGAAAGTTTTACTCCTTCTCCTCCACCATTGTCCCAGTTTGTCCAAGTTTCCGTAACCTCCTCTCCTCTTCGGACGTTTAACAAAACTGAAGCCCTTCCTCAAAATCCTTACCACTTTATGAATAGTAAAATGTATAAATTGTATAAGATTTAATAAAATAAAACGGACGTCATTGAAGTTCAACCCCTCCCCTTCCCATTATCTGATTTTGTCCGACTTGTCATAACTCCCTCCCTACCTTCCAGAGTGGACGTCGTTTATGGACAGCCTCTTAGTGCTATGTGCTACTCATCAAAGTAATAATATAGCGAGTCTTCTTCGTTCTATATCATTATCGCACTAATTAAGTGAAAATATAATACAGTGGGTGATCGGTTAACGAACATAATCCGTTCCAAAACTTTGTTCGCTATCCGAATTGTTTGTTAATTAACTGAATATCGATTTACCATAGGTTTTTATGGAAATTTGATTAATTCGTCCTGGAGATCCCAAAAAATAAAAAATATATATACTTTCTTACTACGTTTATTTATATGTAATAATAAAAATACAAATATACACAGTCTTTCATTTTTNTTTTATGGAAATTTGATTAATTCGTCCTGGAGATCCCAAAAAATAAAAAATATATATACTTTCTTACTACGTTTATTTATATGTAATAATAAAAATACAAATATACACAGTCTTTCATTTTTATTAGTCATGTTTTTTTTCCGTTTGTGGGGGTTAAAAAATCTGTCTAATGTCAATTGCTTTTCTCTCTTCTTCAGAATTTTTCAGAAGTAATTAATTAATAGCATTGTAATTGTAGAAATCTCCAATTCTATTAACACGAATGTATATGCAGGGAATGATCCGCGAAAATCCTCTACTTCAGCGACACAGAGGCACAAAAATCACGAAATTTGGTGAAAACTCCGAACGTTTTACATTAAATTTTGTGGCAACGCAACAATAAAACTCTGACAATTTGTTGTGAGCGGTCGATTATTGTTATTGCGAACGGTTGGATTTTTGGTTCGTGCGATTTTAAAGTCATTGGTTTCAAGCGTTTTTTTGAGGTTTTCATTATTTGCGGTGATTTTTATCGGTAAGTTTAAATTACGTTCAGTCCAAATTCAGTGAAATTATAAAAGCAAAATAAGAATTAATAAATACATAAAGTTTTTATTTCCCACTACGGTCTATTATGGTTTTTATTTCCCGCTGATGGTGTGAATTTCATATGAGATATAATGTGTAGTCTATACGTTATATCTCATATGAAATTCACACCGCTATACTCTATACTTTAATTAATCAGAATTTTTCTATTTTCACAAATATTTTGTGAAATTTTAAATATAATTTAAACGATAATTTTCTATTATAAATCTTTATTGAATTTTGAAATGAATTTTACATTTAAAATGTACATATTTCTTACTTATAATTTAGATAAAATTAAGACAACAAAAATATTTCTTAATTAATGCAAGTTCTGTTTTCACAACATTCGCTCGTTTTTCTTTGCAGCATGGATACTTTCATGCAATTGAAAAAGTGAAACACTTCGGGCCATGCTGAGCCCGAGTATGGCGCCTGGTCTTCGCCTGGTGTAATATCGCTGCTTCCGAAAGATGCGTAGCAGAAGTCACCCGGCGTCAAAAGGGTGGTCGTCATAACTCCAGATGATCGATATTATAGCCCTGACTCCCGTCGGAACATCGCCCGGTTTAGCGCAGCGAGGGTCGATATTAATGAAAGAGGAACGTGTTTACGTTTTACTCCTGACATGTTGAAAAACACACAAAACTGTATACGTACACACAATGTAAAACATATACTGTAACGAACACAGAACAACGCGACGGGCGGTGAGTTACTGACGAGTCGGGACAAGTTTCTCGACTCCGACCACGGTCGGATTAACCGGAGCGACGGACTAGAGAGGTTCTACTGTATTTGTTACGAACATATTTCACAAGTACAGCACGTAACAAATGAATAAATAAACGAATAGATTAAGTGTTTTCGCTATGAGTTTTCTAATTTTACATTTATTATGAAGGCCTTCGTAAAGGCCACAAAAATTGCCTCCGCGGTCTTACAAAGACCTCAGGGCGGGATATTGGTTAAAGTTTTCAACTAGCAATAATCGCGCCTCGGATTAACCTCACTGGCTACGATATCGCCTCTGCACAAAGATAGCCTTACTACTATTTTCTCTCTCGCCTCACCTAAATGCTGTAGTCGATGTCACTGGTGTGTAATCTTTAAAGGTTCGTTTTATTGTCTTTTTATATATAACTTTTTAAATTTGTTGGAATTATTAACATTATGCCCATATTTGCAATTGAGGTTTATAACAGTTTAAGTCTTATTTGTTAATTTTGAAATATTAACACAATGAATGAATTTTAAAACGAAAGCGGATTCGTTTAAATTGAATTTATGATCCGGCATAATCCAGGATTATCGGCATATATGGAGGACTTAAATAAACTGGCTGATTTGATGTGCTCCCATTCATTTTTTGGATTCGATGGAGCAACGTACAGACAGAAGGGGTCCCTATGGGAAGTCACATGTCAGGACTCTTATTCAAAAAATTAAAAAAAGAAATATTTTTAATAAACATCCGATTAATCTGTGATATATGTTAGATAGATAGGTCTATATACACACATATAAAAATACTGCAGCTTTCTAAACCGATGTAGAGAAATAATACGACCTATAGATTATAACGCCGATCGGCGTGTAAGGGGGGTGGGTGGTGGTTATTCTAAATTTAGGTCAATACACTTTTTAGTATTGATGATGTATATTTGATTCTATTTATGTTATTTACACTATTGTACTAACAGTGGTATATATCAAGCGATTATTACTTTAATATATTAACGATTATACGTGTATTTTTTACGTATTACGAAAGTTACATGATAACCGGAAGTACTTTGTTTTTTAAAAGATTTATAATTGGATGGTTTAAAAAACATGCTTATTTGTTAAATAGGATAAATATAAAAATTTACTAAATTGAAACTAAAAATAGACGAGAATAATGATTTATAATTGTTTGTTTACGTTTGTAGCTAATAATGTAGCTCCGATAAAAGTAACTTTTTCCCAGAAAGTTCCCACACCACAAACCCAAGTCAATGCTTATTCGTTAAAGGATAGTCATTTAATTATAATATACATTGTTACATTGTATAATTACATTGTATAATTACATGTATAATTACATTGTTAACATTGTTATAATATACCAATTAGAGGTCAACAGACGTGCAAACAAGAATTTTATTGTCCAATGAACGAAAGAAGGGTCTCCCATAGACTTAACATGGAAAGGAGGAGTTTTGTGGGTAAATTTAAAAATAGGGAGTGGTAACAAATATCTTATTCGTTGAAACAGACTTAGTCTATGTAGATAAATGCCAATCAGTATTTAAATCGTCACCAACTAGTTAATTACGAAAAAAAATTGACACTGTTAAACTGCCAGTTTAACAGTGTCAATTTTTAGTTAAACCAGTTTTAGTTAAACTGCGCAACAGTTTAACTAAAACTGGTTACTCCAATTGAAGTACCGCGCAACCGACTGGTTAAAGCCCCGACTCCCGTCGGGATATCTCCCCATTCAGTCGCAGCGAGAGACGATATAGCGTCCCGACTCCCGTCGGAACATCGCCCCGTTCAGCGCAGCGAGAGTCGATATTAAAGCCCCGACTCCCGTCGGGATATCTCCCCATTCAGTCGCAGCGAGAGACGATATAGCGTCCCGACTCCCGTCGGAACATCGCCCCGTTCAGCGCAGCGAGAGTCGATATTAAAGCCCCGACTCCCGTCGGGATATCGCCCCTTTCAGTCGCAGCGAGGGACGATATAGCGTCCCGACTCCCGTCGGAACATCGCCCCGTTCAGCGCAGCGAGAGTCGATATTAAAGCCCCGACTCCCGTCGGGATATCTCCCCTTTCAGTCGCAGCGAGGGACGATATAGCGTCCCGACTCCCGTCGGAACATCGCCCCGTTCAGCGCAGCGAGAGTCGATATTAAAGCCCCGACTCCCGTCGGGATATCGACCCTTTCAGTCGCAGCGAGGGACGATATAGCGTCCCGACTCCCGTCGGAACATCGCCCCGTTCAGCGCAGCGAGAGTCGATATTAAAGCCCCGACTCCCGTCGGGATATCGACCCTTTCAGTCGCAGCGAGGGACGATATAGCGTCCCGACTCCCGTCGGAACATCGCCCCGTTCAGCGCAGCGAGAGTCGATATTAAAGCCCCGACTCCCGTCGGGATATCGACCCTTTCAGTCGCAGCGAGGGACGATATAGCGTCCCGACTCCCGTCGGAACATCGCCCCGTTCAGCGCAGCGAGAGTCGATATTAAAGCCCCGACTCCCGTCGGGATATCGACCCTTTCAGTCGCAGCGAGGGACGATATAGCGTCCCGACTCCCGTCGGAACATCGCCCCGTTCAGCGCAGCGAGAGTCGATA